AAACTACTCACTTCATATCTCTGTACTTCAGTTTCCTCATTTATAAAATAAGGATCACAGTGTATGCAACATAGATTGTTGTGAAGATTAAATGAAAAATGTACATGAAAGTACCAATTTTGATGTCTGGTACACAGTAGACATTAAATAAATGTTAGTTCATTTCAGCTTTACTTGTACAAAATGTAATCTCCATGGGCCTTTGGTTAAATTCTGTACTTTTCTGGGTTTAGGAAATCTACCAAAAAGTAGAGTTGTGAGAGATGGCCAGTAGGACTAAAGCAATAATTTTTAAAGTTTAAGGGTAGGAAAAGTGTTTCTTGAAAAAAAAAATTCTTATTTTGGAAAATATATCTGGAAATCAAAATAATTTCCCTATAGTACAAACTGATGAAAATACAGATCTACAAAATATTTTTGGCTATACTCGGAAAACTTTAATGTGATGGAGTAGATTTTTCTAGGAGTTCTTGTAGTGAGATGTTCTTATGTTTTCAAAGAGAACTTTGGTTTTAAAAGATTGAGAAATACTGTTTGAGTGGCACTGTCATGTGGAAAGCAGATTTCCGAATTATTTCCCTTATCTGTTGTCTGATTTTATCGTTTAAAAAAAGGAATTTACTTGCAAAACACTTGCCTATGGTCTAAGAGTTGAGGATCTCAATATAACATTATTCTGAAAAAAGTATAATGACCCTTGGCAAAAGTTATTGGGTTCCCTTCAAGATATAGACTATATTTCCAGAAGGTTCCCTCTAGCTATATTTCTGTACTATGGACTCATTATTTACCACTTCATGATATATAACTCTTCTCAGGTGCGTAGGGGCCTAGAATCAAATAATTGTATTGCTAGGAAGGAAATTAAAGACTTTTTATTTCAAGCTTTCCCTCTTATTATAGGTAACACTATTGAAATTCAGAGAAATAAAGCAACTTGCTGAAGGCCACACAGTGAGTCACTGGCCAGACATGAGCTAAAACCAAGACTTCTTGACTCTCTGTGTATTGATCCATCTACTTCAGCACTCTGCCTATGATACATGTGAACTAAACTAGATGAAAATGTCTTGCAAAATCCCTGATCTGGAGTGTAAAGTAGACTTTTGACCAAATATTTTAAAATAAAGCATAGACTAACTTCCAGTAATTGCCCTGATTATTAGAATTATTAGAAAGGGTGGTTTCACAACAGGCAGATTTGTTATCTTTGCTAGAGCTGTGACAGAGAGCTATAGACTTCTCTGCCTCTTAAGACACCAACTGGAATGAGTGGTGAAAGCTGACATCCCTGTCTTGTTCTTGGTCTTATAGGAAATGCTTGTAGTGTTTGCCCATTAAGTATGATGTTGGCTGTGGGTATGTCATATATGGCCTTTATTACATTGAGGTATGATCTTTCTATTCCCACTTTGCTGAGAGTTTTTATTATAAATGGGTAATGGATTTGGTTAGATGCTTTTTCTGCCTCTGATGGTATGATTATGTGATTTTTACCCTTCATTTTGTTTATGTGCCTTATCACATTTATTGATTTGTGAATATTATACCACCTTTCTACACCATAGGAAGAATAAACTCAAAATGGATTAAACACTAAACTGTTATAGTCAAAACCATAAAAATCCTAGAAGAAAATATAGACAGTAAAATCTTGAATATTTCTCATAGCAATATTTTTTCTGATATATTTTCTCAGACAAGGGAAACAAAAGAAAAAATAAACAGATGGAACTATATCAAACTAAAAAGTTTTTGCTCAGCACAGGAAACCATCAACAAAATGAAAAGACAATCCACTGAATAGGAGAACATATTCACCAATGATACATCATATAAGGGCTTAATATCCAAAATTTACAAAGAACTTACAAAATTATACACTAAAAAAAAATCCAATTTAAAAACTGAGCAAAGGACCTGAATAGACACTTCTCCAAAGAGAACACGTGAATGTCCAGTAGACATATGAAAAGATGCTCAACATCACTATTCATCAGAGAAATGCCAACTAAAACCACAATGAGATACCACCTCATACCTGTCAGAATGGCTATCATCAACAAATCAACAAACAAGTTCTGGCAAGAATGTGTAGAAAAAAGAACCTTCTTGCACTGTTGATGGAAATGCACACAGGTGCAGCCACTGTGGAAAACAAATCAAGTATGGGGTTTCCTCAAAAAATTAAATTGAACTGCCTTATGACCCAGTGATCCCACTTCTGGGAATTTATCCGAAGATATCTAAAACACTAATTTGAAAGAATAGATGTACCCCCATGTTTATTGCAGCACTATTTTTAATAGCCAAAATTTGGAAGCAGTCCAAGTGTCTATCAGTAGATGAGTAGATAAAAAAGCTGGGTTCATGAGATCAAGAAAGAAATAAAATACTTCCGGAAAACAAATGAAAATGAACACACAACAACCCATAATCTATGGACACAGTGAAAGCAGTCCTGAGAGGGGAAGTTCATAGCACTGCAGGCCTACCTCAAAAAGCAAGAAAAAATTTTAATAAACTATCTACCCCTACAACTTAAAGAATTATAAAGCTTCCTTGTGAAGCCTTCCAGACCAGGGCTTTTGTTTGCTGGGAGTTTTTTGATTACTGCTTCAATTTTATCAATTGTTATTAGCCTAATCAGATTTTCTGATTCTTCTTGATTCAGTTTTACATGATCCCACTCATATGTGGAATCTAATAAACAAAATAGACTGATGAACAATATAGATCCAGAGACATAGAAGCATGGAACAGACTGATGAATCTCAGTGGGAAGGCAAGGGTCGGATAGTGGGTGAGGAGAGGTTAATCAAAGAAATTATATACATATATGCATAACCCATGGACACAGACAATAGTGTGGTGAAGGCCTGAGGGGGAGCGGATGCAGGGTGGAGGAGATCAGTGGGGAATATCTGTAATACTTTCAACACTAAAGATAAATTTTGAAAAATCAAAAAACTGTGTTCTATTTAAACACTGAAATACTACTTGGCTGTAAAAAAGAAGGAAATATTATCTTTTGCAACAGCATGGATGGACATGGAGAGTATTATGGTTAAGTGAAATAAGCCAGTCAGAGAAAGACAAGTACCATATGATTTCACACATATGTGGAATCTAATGAACAAAATGAACTAAGCAGAAAAATAAAGACAGACTCATAGATAAGGAGCAGGTTGACAGCTGTTGTGGAGGGGTGGCTGGGAGGTTGGGTGGAGAGATTGGACAAAAAGATTTTTAAAAATGAGAAAAAAGCTCATGGACACAGACATCAGTGTTGTGATTGCCGGGGTGGGGTGTTAGAGGGAGGTGGAGGAGGGTATAGGGAGAATAAATGGTGATAGATGGAGGCTTGACTTGGGGTGGTAAACACACAATACAGAGTAAAGAAGGTGTGTTGTAGAATTGTATACCTAAAATCTATAAAATTTTGTTAACCAGTGCCACCCCAATAAATTCGATTAAAAATAAAATAAAATAAATAATAAAATGAAAAATAAAAGACACCAATTGACTTAATTCAGACCACCCAAAACCACCCAGAAGTATGCTCACTTTTTTGACATTGTATGCTTCACCACTGCCAGAATTTGAGCAGACTGTACAACTTGAACTCAACAACTTTCCCAAAAGAGACCAAAAAAGAACTACTTTTGACCAAAGTAGGACCTGTGTTCAATAGGAAGCACTGCAAAGACAATTACCCTGACTGCATGACCTGATTATTTGTATACTTTAAGCCATTTCCTGCCTCAGTATACCAGAATATCACCTATTTTCAGCAGTGAATAATTTTACTATGTCACGATCGCTGAGATAAATCAACTAGTAGGAATGGTCGTGAGACCCCCCAACCATTTTAACAACCAAAATAAAAATGTCCCCATTTTCAGGATCCTTGGTACTGAGTCTATGCTCCCACATCCAATAAAACACACACAAAAAAGCTTGTTATCATTATATTCAGAATGATCTTGGTACCAACTGTGGCACAGTCCACTTTTAAGGAATCCCCAACTAAAAGCCTTTTTTTTGACTCAGTCATCTTGGCTCAGAACCAGAGAGGTTGCAAGCATTCAGAGTAATGAGAACAATAACCACTGAGAGATAGGTGCTTCTATTTGGGGCTCTGTTGTCCAGTAGGGCAGTAGGGCTGAACTTGAGTCAAAAATTACCTTTTAAAAGATCAAAAAATGATTCTGAACAGACTGAAATCATTTTACCAGAGCTTATCAACTGAGATATCTTCTCCTTTCCTAACCTAAAAATCCAACATAGCTATAAATACATTTACAGTATTCTCTTGGGGATACAGGCTACTATAGGGGAAGGGAGCATGATTTAGAAGACACAGGTTCTGGTTCCAGCTCTACCACTATCTGAGTTATATTAAGTGTCTTTGCTGGCTCTCAGTTTTCCCATCTGTATTATGAAGGATTTGGATCTCTAAAGCTCTTTCAGCTACCAAATCTATGATCTCAAATTCTTTTCTTCTCTTTTGATAGAATTTACTATATGTTGCTGTATCTATGAGTGCTAAACCCACCAAAGCAAGGGGCTTATACATAAAAACTTTCTTTCATTACGCAGCTAGATAAATAATATAGAGCAGGAATTTAGATCTTGGCTGAATATGTCAAGCTGTCACAACAATCTCACTGAACACACTCTTTTCTTAACACTTGTGCCAACCTCCCAGGTTGATGAAGAAACAAAGAGCCCTCAGCAAAGAGTGAGCTAAGTCACAGACTTGACGTTACTGTGTTATGGTGGAGACTGATGGCGATGGCATTAACCCTAACTTTGTACTCTAGTCTTACTCAAGGGAAATCATCATCACTCTTGCTGTTAGAAGTCTGAAATGAGAAAACAGGGGCCATTTCCAATTTGGACAATGGTCCCACATTTGCCCCTGTCCTGGATCTTCATGCCCCCACCATTCTTCCCACACAAAACCTCCAATTCCCAGATACTATGCTTTAACTTACCCTGGAGACTTGCCGGGTTTAGCACTCTAGTGTCTTTGCAGGGAGCTGGGGATGGAAAAAATATAACTCTGGGTAATTCGGATCCTGCTGATAACTGACAAATTTGTTGTTGAAAGAGGAAGTTGAGCGAATTTTGTGTCTCACCACAGAAACCTTATTTGCACAGACTGAAGGTAAGTCCCTTGAGCAGATGACGCTACTAGAGGTTTGTTTCATTTCTATTTCATTGGTGCAAATAAATTCAAAGAGCATGGTGCAAAAGGCTGTGCAAAATCAGAAAACATCTGCATATCAGCCTTCCTCACTGCTCCTCACATTATCTCTTTCTACCACAAACGACATGCCTATCTTTCTTACTAGATTCCAGTAGGCTCTATTGAAAGATGGGATTTTGAGGTAAAATCTGAAGGGAGTTTACCTAAGAACAAGAAAGCTGCAATTCCTTCAAGAGTGAAGGGCAAAGGGTGAAGATATCTCAAGAATACAGGTCAGAACTAAGAGAAGTAGGACTAGCTTTGCTTAAGCTGTTCCCTTCATCTGGAGTGCATTTCTCTCAGTTTATTTCAAGGTTTATAATTTAATGTGTAATTTAGTTATTTTTATACATTTTTACCCCCTTAGTACACTGCAAACTGCTTGAGGGCAAAGATCATGTCTGACTTATCTCTGTGTTCCCAACCAGTCCAGCACAAGGCATTTTCATGAATGTTTGTTGAATGACTAATTGAAGGGATGAATAAAAAAAAATAAATGTTCAAATAATGCATGAATAAAAAAATGAACAGTGTTGATCATAGAGTCTCCCTAAAGATTACTAAGATTTTGGTCTTTATGTATAATGTCTACAGGAACTTTATAAGCATGCAAATAAAGATCATGCTCTTAAGGCCTATAGTGTCAGCCAAGTCTGTGTGTAGTTCTGAGAAACAAAGCTTGTAAAGCAGCATGAACCTCTGTGGGCATACAAGGGAACCACGTTCAGAAACCATGGCCTGGAACTGCAAAGAGCCTTCTGGGTAATAGCCATAGCAAAAGAAAAAAAAAGTACTGTGTGTTAGGTCAAACAGTAGCATTTGGATTTATGGATAAGACTGAATAAAGAAAGAAGTAGATGACATTTTTTTTGCAGTAGGGCAAACTGGATCTGCAACAAGGTCTCCTTATAAAACTAATACCCTTCAAGACCTAGATGGAGACATGCCCAATACTCAGAAATGTCTAATAGAATTTTCAAGGGCACTAAAAGATGGAAAAGAAGCACTTTCAACATTAGAAACTAACAGCTTGAACTGATTGATGAAAAGTCCATGACTTGTGAGGACTGGTAAAGGGAGAGGATACCCATCCTAGCTGAGGTCTATCAAATGAAACATGCTTTACCTTGCAATCCCTTTTTTAGTTCTGATTTCATATATTTATCTATCCCTGATCTGTTGTTAATATTCTGACTTGGCTTCCCTACTGAAAAGAAAATATACTGACAGGTCAACACACGTTTCAGTCCATTTGGCAGTTCTGTTCCTTACTATAACCGATTAATACAAATTTATTGAGACAGATCTATCCCTTGTGAGTTTGGGCAGCATGAGCCAGTTTCCCTAGGGTATGATCCTACTCTGGACAAAGAAAATTCCAGGCTTTTTGAGCTTTAAAGCCAAACCCTGGGAGAGAAAGAAGAACGGGATGCTTTCTTGACAATTAGCTATTAACACTACCTCCCAGTTTCATTTCACAGACACCTTAACATTGCTAAAAAGAAAGACTGCCTGCTTACCTCATTTCTCTCTTGCATGCAAGTATCCTCTCCTTTCATTGGCCCTAAAAAGGGAAGCAAAAGTATCTCAGAAGTGAGTGAACCAATTTAGGCAAAAAATATTTTATCTCAGGTAAAGTTTTGAGTGTTGATTAAAACAACAAAAAGCTGATAATTTAACAATCATCTACAACTGATTTTTAGAAGAGAGTCTACTAATTATTGAGTATGACTGACAGTCTAGGAATCATTATCATCTCAAACGAAGTAATAAATACCCAGTCATAAGGGCCTAAAATATAGTACAGCTGAAACAATTTGCCCATAGTTCTGAACTCTTTACTTTATCTATGCATTCCCTCAAAGTTTACTTTAACTGGTGCATGGTGTATTCCCTAGGCTGAGGAAAGTTTATAAATTGGTGCTTCAAAGGTTTTAGGTCTTCTCTAACAGAAACAATAGATTAGGGGTGATAACTATTATAGAGGACATTATTCATTAAAATGCACTGTGTTTTCTGGGAAGACCCAAGAGTACTACCCAATATTAGTATTAGGAAGAACTAGATTTTTCCTAAGTAATTTGTTTGATTTGTTTCTTATGGATACTGATAATTGTGTCAAACGTCTCCATTTACATGGTCTGCTGAAAAACCTGTAACTAATTTGTTGTCTACTGGTAGCAAGTTTGGAGATCTTTCTATAGTGTGCTTTTATTTATTTATTTTTATTTTTTACTATTTTAAAAAAATATATCTTTATTGATTTCAGAGAAAAGAAAGGAGAGGGAGAGAGAGAGATAGAAACATCAATGATGAGAGAGTCATTGATCGGCTGCCTCCTGCACGCCCCCAACTGGGGATCAAGCCCTCAACCCAGGCATGCGCCCTGACCAGGAATCGAACCACGATCTCCTGGATCCTGGGTCGACACTCAACCACTGAGCCACACCTGGCCTGGCCTATAGTGTGCTTTTAAAAACATTTTTTATTAAATTTATTCGGGTAACATTGGTTAATAAAATTATATAAGTTTAAGGTGTACAATTCTATAATGCATTATCTGTATATTGCTTTGTGAGTTCACCACCCAAAGTCAAGTCTCCTTCAATCACAATATATTGAACCCTTTTTACCATATTCTACCTCCTCCCCACCCCCTACCCTCTGATAACCACCATACTGTTGTCTGTGTCTATGAGTTCTTGTCTGTTTACTTGTTTTTTTTTTGTTTATTTATTGCTTTCAGTTTTATGTCCCACATATGAGTGAAATTATATGGTTCTTCACTTTTTCTATCTGACTTATTTTGCTTAGAATGTGGGACATATATACAATGAAATACTACTCAACCATAGGAAAAGATGAAGTACTGTCATTTGCAACAACATGGATGGGCCATGAGAATATGGTATGTGGTTTTTTTTATTCTATTTCATGGCTCTACTCTTATGTTCTTGAACATCTTTTCTTTATTATTTTCCATCTTACTATTTATTTGTATTTATTATTATAGTATGAATCCTTCCAGACCACTTTCAATTTTTTCTGGAACAATAGTGGGGGAAAAAGTTACCAAAAAAAGAAAGGGTGAACAGTGACCTTAATTCCTTTTGCGTTAAAAGTAGTGAATATTAATTGCTTTAGATAAACTATTTTCAGGAGTTTTCCATATCTGCTTTTATATCCACAGACTATTCCTACATTTTGTTTGGAATTAATCATTCAACAACTACTTAAAGAAGTACAACAATGAGCAATTTTGTTGGCTGCTGAGTGGAAAGGGTGGGACTCAGGAGCATAAAATATGTCCCCTATTCTCCAAGAATCCACTTTAAGTGAGAAGTTGATCACTCATAAAATAATGAGAAAATATAGCACATTAAATGATTTATTATTAAGTTATGTGAAAGTTAAGAAGATGAGCTCACTATGGGCTGGACCTGTTTGGAAAGGTTGGGTGGTCCTTGCTCAATAGATAAGTTTGGCTTAAGCAGTGTTCCCAATGAGTCGAACATGTCTCATTGGAGGCATGCCATGTTAGTTTTGGTAGTATAAGGAATAACTTTTTAAACATTTTCAAGTTAGACATTTGTTTAAGGCTTTAAATTGTAATACAATTAGCACTTCAAATTTTTGATTTAATGGAAAATATTACTTAGGATGAGGCTAAAGCAAGTAGGCAGGATGAAAAAAAAGCATGATTTTAAAACAAACAAATAAAGGTATGGAAGGTAAGCAGACAACAAAACCTATGGAGCAACATTTGAGTACCTGAAATTTGGCATATACCAATTAAAGAGAGGAAAGAAGGCAAGGCTTTTCAGAAGAGAGAAGGAATATTCCCAAGGATATGAATGAAAAGTAACATGTACTATTCATGTGATAGTGAGGACAAACTTTTGACTAAAGCATAAGGCATGCTAGGGAATGAAAAAAAAAAAGCTTAGAGGATGGAATCATACAATTAAGATCTTATGGGGTATAGAACCCATAGGATACAGGAAGTCTTTTAATCATACTTGAGGAAGGGAGATTAAAAACTCTTATTTACTTAGTACTTTCTATGTACTGGTCATCATTCTACGAAATTTACACAATCATCTAATTCTCAGAACTGTCTTATAGAGTAGGGGTTAATAGTATATCTTACTTTATCTATCAGTTAATCAAAGCACACAGAGGTTAATTAACTTCCTTAATATCATAAATATAAGTGGGAGAGACAAGATTCACAGTCTCTCTCCAGAGCCCAAGTTTTTTTCTGCCACTGCCTGAAAGACTGCTGAGACATAGGTGCACAGAATAAATTGGAGAAGGGGCAAAAAAGAAAGTGGAAGGCCCTATTGGAGACTACATCAATAATTTAAATTTAAGGCGATAAGAGCATGGATTAGGGTAGTGACAGTAAGAATGAAGATAGAGGGTAATTTCAAAAGAATTATTTTTCTCAAAAGAGCACTTAAAACTGTAATTAGTAAAATGAAAGAGGAAATGACTCTTCTTGAGCAGAAATAAATCAGTCCTTAACGGGTTTAATTTTTGCATATTTTTCATTAAAACTCTTTTGAGTCATACACTGAAGTATCTTCCTTCAATGAAAAAAATACATTATAGCTGGAAGAGTTCATTTTTGTGAACCCCAGAAGTTTGTATTGAAGACTGGTATCAGCACAGGGCAACTTTTTAAGTCCCTCTATGAGGAACCTGAAGTCCTGAAAAGGGAAATGGTTTCCTTTCACACTATGTGAATTTCTAAAGAAATGTATTGCAGAGAATCTCCATACAAACAGGCTTCCTTCCTCTAAACAACTGGGTGGTTGTGTATACATGCTGTGAATTAACATGAATGATGGAATTACCCCCAATTCTTGGTGATTTATTTGGTTGTTACAGTAGATAGCTAGGTGGTTAACAAAGGAAGGGAGCTAATGGAATCAGATATTAAGCCTGATTAACTGGGAAGGAGCAGCTTCCAGACTCTGTAGGGGATAGCCACACTGCCGGGCCAATAGGATTAACATTCCTCCCCGGCGACCCCCCAGCTCGAGTAGGGAAGAAGGACCGACTTTCCAATCTTCTCAGGACAGAACTAGCCCCTTCCAATTAATTACGAGAGAGAGGAATAATACAGTAAGGGGGAAATTTCTTCTCTGAGCACATGTACAGCAGAAGCCAAGATGGCACAAGGGGAGGTCCTTCTACTGACGCTTGTGGAGTAAGAGCCAAAAAGGCGACCATGAAGGGGAAGAGTCTAGCCTGGGAATATCTGGGGTAAAAAACAGATAGGATAAGGGCATGAAGGCCTGAAGGGTCCAGGAAAGGGATTGAATAGGGGCAGGCATCAGCAAAAGCCCACGAAGAACTGGGAAGAAGATTGGTTAGTTTGAAAGAAAGCTTACCCCTTCTCAAACCAAAGGAGATACAATCAAAGCTTAACAAAGGCCAGGTGCTGTTTACACACTCTCTCTCCAAAGCAGCCCTGCGGGCCTTGCAGCTGTGTGGGCTGAAGCAAGGCCCAAGCGCAGCACTGGTTGCTGCCCAGGAGCCACCAAGCCTGCAGATGGGGAAATGACACACAGAGAAATTCTGCGTCTCTGGGTCCTGGCCCTCGTAGGCCTGATGGACGTAGGTGGGTGTCTGCAGCCCCAGAGGCTGGACTACTAATGCAGCAAGATGGAGATGAGCCACCTGGTCCTAGGTAAGACATATGGCACCCAGTGGCAGTCCTTTGTTTTGTTCCAATAAATCTTACCACTATTGCTCACATCCTCCTATGCATGAGTAAGAGGACAAAGGATGAGGAAAAGGTATATCCTGTCCCAGTTTCTTATTTTTGGCTCCTTACTATGAGGTTTACTAACTTCATACATGTCACTAAGACTAATTGGGGAAATGGTGTAATAGGAGACGACTATTTGTGTTCCACTTACCTTTGCTGGCCTTTTTGTTCAGCTTTCTCTCCAAGGAATATGGTGCTTTCTCAGACCTTCTGGGTTTCTGTTGTCACAAAATAATGTGACCTGGTTAAATTCTTAATACTAAAACAGGAAGGATTTTTAGGAACTGAGCACTGTAAACACAAGAAAATAGATTCCAAATGTCTGTAATGTCAGGCAGTGACAAGCAGCAAAAGATTCTTTAAATCAACATTCCACAAATTAGCTATTAATCAAATTCCTCAAATCAGCAATTATTGAGATTTTTGGTCTCAGATCCCTTTACAATCTTAAAAATTATTTAGGATCCCAAGGGCTTCCATTTATATGAGTTGCACCCATCAATATTTATCACATTAGACATTAAAAACTGATGTTCAGGAATGTTAATTTATTAATCCATTAAATTAAAATAATAATGAATCCATTATACTTTAATATAAATAACGGATGTCATTAACTTACAAAAAATATTGAGAAGAGTGACATTGTTTTACATTTTTGCATACCTATTAAAAATGTCCTGCTTGATGAAAGATGTTTCAATGCTCATATCTGTTTTTTCATTGAATCTGTTGCAATATATTGTTTTAGTTGTAATGTAGGAGAAAAACATCTGGGTCACATAGGTATATAAATGGAAAAGGGAAGAACATTTTAATAATCTTTTTGTATAAGTGTACATAATTTTCTTTGATACAACACTAAAACTGGAGAAGTACTAGATTTTTAAAGCTTAACTGCAATGTGGATTCTGAAAGCATATCAAGGAACTTTTCATATTCTCTTTCATTAAAATTCATTGATCTGTCTTGAGTTTTGAGTGGATCCTTTAACCATGCATTATTTGTAACAATATGTATTAGTCTTTTGGAAAATATTGTTTAATTGAGTTCTGCAACTGTTGATACAATTTACTACACAAAATCAAAAATGCATCACATTTGTTACTATAACCACTGGTTTCAGTAGGGAAGTCCACAAGAAGTAGGAAGTTGTCAAGCATATGGTGATGTGCGCAAGTTGTCCAAAGTTCTAATTTTAACTTGAAAACCCAAATTTTAACATTGGTGACAAATACTTGTCAGTTGTTTTTCTTAAAGTAACAGGTACCCTTCAATCATTTTCAAGAAATGTCTACTGAATACCAAAATCTAAATAAACATAATTTTCATGCTTTTTTAAATTCAATATTATTTTGCATTAGATTTGGGTGTACAGCATAGTGCTTAGACAATTCATATATTTTACAGTGTTCTACTTAATATTTCCAGTACCCACCTGGCACCATTCATAGGTATTACAGTATAATTGATTATATTTTCTGTGCTGTACTTTATAACCCCATGACTATTTTATAACTACCAATCTGTACTTCTCAATTTTTTAAAAAAATATATCTTTATTGATTTCAGAGAGAGGAAAGGAGAGGGAGAGAGAGAGATAGAAACATCAATGATAAGAGAGTCATTGGTCAGCTGCCTCCTGCATGTCCCCTGCTGGGGATCGAGCCCCTGACCCAGGCATGCGCCCTGACTGGGAATCGAATCCCGAAGGCCTAGATCCTAGGTTGACGCTCAACCACTGAGCCACGCCCAGATGGGCTCAATCTGTTCAATTTTATCATCCAGTCCCACAACCCCCTTCCCCCCTGGCAATCATTAGTCTGTTCTCTGTATATATGACTCTGTTTCTATTTTGTTTGTACATTTATATTGTTCTTTAGATTCCACATATAAGTGAAAATATATGGTATCTATCTCTCACTGATACATTTCACTTAGCATAATACGCTCTAGGTCCATGTATGCTGCTGCAAATGGAAAAATTTTGTTGTTTTCTTATGGTCATGTAGTATACTATTGTATATATGTATATATGTACCACTGCTTTTTTTTTTTTTTTTTTTTTTTTTTTTTTTTTTTTTTTTTTTAGCTTTCATTTAATTTGTTCAATAATATATTTTAGTACAATATACAATATTTTGAGGTGGAAACTTTTCATTGTTATTTTAGTGTACACTTTGGGTTAACAAACATTTTCATGAATAAATCTTCTGAGAGATAAACTAATACATGCCATCAAAAAGAAAACAAAGTAATTAGCTATTAAAAAGTAAGTATTGCCCGGCTGGGTGTGGCTCAGCAGTTGAGCGTTGACCTAGGATCCAGGTGGATCCGGGTTCGATTTCCGGTCAGGGCACATGCCCAGGTTGCCGGCTGCAGCCGATCAATGACTCTCTCATCATTGATGTTTCTATATCTCTCCATCTCCTTTCCTCTCTCTGAAATCAATAAAGATATATTTTTTTAAAAAAAAGTAAGTATTCTTCTTAGGAATAGCTACTGTATACCAGGTGTTATTCTAGATGATTTACATACCTTATTACATTGAGTACTTTCAAAAAGTTTTCTACATAAGTAATATTGTTTCTCTGTTATGATTAATTGCAGTTTACAGCAGTTAAGCAAATCTACAATATATTAATTCCTAACTGAAAAGATTTATCCCCTTTCTGTAGGTGTGCTAATAGGTTATTTAGAACAGTTCTAATATTCTCCTTAGAAAATTTATTTGGATCCACTTTTAAAGCTCAAATTGATATGTGGCCAAATCTTGAAATTTTATTCTGCGGATCATATTGCAAAAATTTTAGCCTGTTTTATTTTTAAGACAAATATAAGCGGATTCTTATTGCAGATGTTACAAAAAACAAAACACACATTCATACAAAAATACAAAGAAACCCTTGAAATAATCATAGTATACTTAGCTTCCTGTGTACTCTATATTACCAGAGTAATTGAAAAGGTGATCTGTTATATTGCATTATTGATACACCACTGCTTTTTATCTGCTCATCTATTGATGGGCACTTGGGTTTCTTACATAGCTCAGTTATTGTAAATAATGTTGCAATGAACATAGAGGTGCATATATTCTTTCAAATTAGTGTTTCCGGTTACTTCGAAATATATACCCACAAATAGAGTCTCTGGGTCATAATGCAGTTCTATTTTTAATTACTTGAGGACACTTCATACTGTTTTCCATAATGGCTGCACTAATTTGCATCCCCACCAACAGTGCACAAGGGTTCCCTTTTTTCTACATCCTCACCAACACTTGCCATTTGTGTATTTATTTATAATAGTAATTCTGACAGGAGTGAGCTGATATCTCATTGACGTTTAATTTGCATTTATTTGACAATTAAGAATGTTGAACATGTTTTGGTATGTCTATTGGCCATCTGAATGTCCTCTTTGGAGAAATGTCTATTCAGGGCCTCTGCCCATTTTTTAGTTGGATTGTTTTGGGGGTTTCTTGGTGTCATATATCATTGGTGAATATGTTTTTACATTTTAGCAGGTTGTCTTTTTGTTTTGTTATGGTTTCCTTTGGTGTACAAAACCTTTTTGGTTTGCTATAGCCCTATCTTTTTATTTTTTCTTTTCATTCCCTTGCACAAGCATATATATCAGAAAAAAAATATTGCCAGGAGAAATGTCAGAATTTTTATGGCTTATCTTTTCTTCTAGGAGTTTTATGGTTTTGACTCTTACACTTAATTCTGTAATCTATTTTGAGAATTTTCTAGTATATGGTAGTCTTTCATTTTTTGCACATATGTGTCTAGTCTCCCCAACACCATTTATCGAGTAGACTATCTTTAGTCCATTGTATGTTCTTATCTTCATGGTCAAAACATTTTTTTTTTATTGATTTGGGAGAGAGGAAGGGAGAAGGATAGAGAGATAGAAACATTGATGAGAGGGAAACATCATCAATGGGCTTCCTCCTGCATGCCGCCTACTGGGGATAGAGCTTGCAATGCGGGCATGTACCTTGAGTGGGAATCAAACTGGTGACCTCTTGGTTCCTGGGTTGACGCTCAATTGCTGAACCACACTGGCCAGACATTCATGGACAAATATTAATTGACTGTATAGTTTTGGGTTTAGTTCTGAGCTCTCTATTTTGTTCCATTGAACTATATGTCTGTTTTAATGCCAGTACCATGCTTTTTTGATTACTATGGCCTTATAGTATAGTTTTGATTCAGGTAGTGTGACTCTTCCAACTTAGTTCTTTTTCAAGATTGCTGTGGCTATGTGGTGTCTTTTGTGATTCCATATAAATGTATAGATTATTTGTTCTAATTCTGTGAAATACATCATTGGTATTTCAATAGGAATGAAGATGAATCTATAGATTGTTTTGAGTGGTATGGATATTTTAACAATGTTAATTCTTCCTATCCATGAACATAGTATATGCTTCCATTTATTTGTATCTTCTTCAATTTCTTTCTTTGGTATATTATAATTTTCCAAGTACAGGTCTTTTACATCTTTGGTTAAAATTATTCTTAGGTATTTTTTGATGCAATTATAAATGGGATTGTTTTCTTAGTTTCCCTTTCTAATAGAACATTATTGGTGTATAAAAATGCCACTGATTTCTGGATATTTTTGGATCCTAATATTTTACTGAATTTATCAGTTCCAGTTGTTTTTTGGCAGAATCTTTAGGGTTCTCTATATACAGTATTACATCATCTGCAAATAATGACAGCTTAAAATCTTCTTTTCCAATTTGGATGTCTTCTATTTCTTCTTCTTTTCTGATTGCTGTGGCTTGGACTTCCAGTACTCTGTTAAATAAGTTTAGTGAAAGTGGACATCCCTGTCTTGTTCCTAGTCTTAAAGAAAATTGATTTAATTTTTCCCCATTGGATTTGTTAGCTGTGAGTTTGTCATATATGACCTTTAATATGTTGAGGTATGGTCCCTCTGTTTCCACTTTGCTGAGAGTTTTCATCAAAAATGGGTACCAGATTTTGTCAGATGCTTTTCTGTTTCTACTGATATGATCTTATAATTTTTATCCTTTATTTTGTTTATGTGGTGTATAACTTTATTTGATTTGTGCATATTGTACCAAACTTGCATCCCAGGAATAAAAACCACTTGATCATGGTGTGTGATCTTTTTGATTTATTGATTTAGTTTGCTAATATTTTGCTAAGGATTTTTGCATCTAAGCTGATCAGGGATGTTGACCTATAATTTTCTTTCTTTGTAGTGTCTTTATCTGGCTTTGGAATTAGGATAAGTCTGGTCTCATAAAATGAGTGTGGGAGTCTTCTTTCCTCCTGAATTTTTTGGAATAGTTTGAGAAAATAGGTATTAGCTCTTCTTTGAATGTTTGGTAAAATTCACTTGTGAAGAAATTGGTCCAAGGCTTTTGTTGAAAGTTTCTTGATTACTGCTTCAATTTAATTAGATACAATCAGTATATTTTGATTTTCTGCTTCTTTTTGATACAGTTTTGGAAGGTTGTATGTTTCTAGGAATTTATCCATTTCTTCCACATTGTTTGATTTGTTGGCACATAGTGGTTTGTAATACTTATAATCCATTGTATTTCTGTGGGGTCATTTGTTACTTCTTTTTTATTTCTGATTTTATTTATTTGGGTCTTCTCTCTTTGTTTCTTGATGAGTCTAGCTAAAGATTCATTAATCTTGTTTAACTTTTCACAGAACCAACTCTTGCTTTCATTAA